TGGCCTCGAACTCCTGTGCTTCCTGAGTGCTGGAATTAAAGGCATGTGCCACCACCGACCTGCAGCCTTGAAGTTCTTTATTTCCCTGCCTCCTGTAATCCTGAGTTCTGGGTTTACAGATGTGTGCCACCTTGCAGAGCTATGACAGGGTTTTTGTTCATTGTTTTTTGAGACAAGGTCTTGGCTTGCCTGAAACTCACTGGAGACAAGTTGGCCTTCAACTTGGAGCAATCCTCCTGCCTCTGCCTCTGGAGTGTTGGAATTACAGGCAGGCTTCCCTGTGTTCTGTTTAAAAAAAAAAAAAAAAAAAAAGTTTTTTAAATAAGAGGGGTGGCAAGAGCAGAGAACATAGTGACTCATGGCAATAGATTTTTGTAAGGAGATAATGACTAACGCTGGGAAAACTGTGTTACTAGTCCTTTCAGACTAGGCAAGTGGTGAACAGATTCTCCAAGAGACCGAGGGATTGGGGCAGCCAGTAGGACTGCTAGTTCATGACTAGGACTGGTGCAAGTTCACTGTTAACCCTGTACTCTTAGGAGGAGGGTCTAGTTTTAAGGACCTTTTGAATAAAAGGCACAGGAAATACAGGGTGCTGTGTGCTGGGACTACCCTGCAGATCTGGACAGCTGACTAGGTTGGGGAATGTGTCCATGACATGTGGCCAAGCTTAAGAGGCCCTGCTGTTCAGCTGTGATGGGGGTTGTTCTTTCCAAGGAAGGGCCTCCAGTCGGTGGAGGAAGAGAGGAAGCAAGGCACTGTAGAGAGGCACAGATGTTCTAGGTCTAGAGGAGGAGGGAAGGGGCCCTGGGGCAGGTGGCCAGTTGCAGAAGAGCAGTTTTTCCTTGTCAGTCTGTTTCTGGCTGGGAAAAGGTGAAGTCATTTCCTGCTCAGTCCCAAGAGTAAGCTAAAAATCTATTGTCAGCTCTGTCTCGGTGGAGGTTAGGGAGACAATAAGGCCATCTTGATGATGTTTAAAAAGAAGCCTTTCAAGGGGCTGGGGTCTGCAGGCTTCTGGTCACATTCTTTCCTTTGGCCTGCCCAGTTCATGAGCAGCTTATTAGCAGGCCTCCATCTGTTGCCTTCCCTTCATGGTGGTATGACTTTTGATCTCCCTTAACGGGATACTGGACAGACAAGTATAAGGGTATATACATAGAGCAAAGCATGAAGGTTGAAACTGGTTAAAATTACTCAAAATACAACAAGGAAAGGAAAGGGTCTGAAAGCTGGGGATGGGACAAAGGATGAAGGGCCACTGTTTTGTGATCCTTAAAAATGGCCAGCAGTGAGCTCTAGTGCTAGTGAAGTCAGAGCAGATAAAGATAAGGGTGTGTCCTCAACAAATTCGGCTGCCCAGGGGCATTCTATTTCCTTCTATTGGGTCTTCACAAATTGGCTTCCCCATAGGGATGCAGGATAGACTTTCCCTACCCTTTCCTTAAGGGTCTTTTTAAAAGCAGTGAGTCATTCCATGCCTATAGCTTAATTAACAAAACTGGGTTAGGGTTACAAAGGTCCAGGCCGTGGTGTTACAGAGAGGTGGGCAGCCTCTCTGGCAGCCTAAAGACTTTTATTCTGAGTTGTCTAAAGGGTTAAACAACCTTCTGTGGAAGAACCTGCTAAGACTGTATGGGCAGCACAGAAATTTGTCCATTCATTCGCAGCTTCTTGCCAGTTTGTCATTCGCTGACTTACAGATTTTAAAGTGAACCAGCAGCTTTTCCCAGCATTTTCCAGCTCCCCTTCCTATGGTATATTACATCAAGGGAAGGGTGACCAGATGGTGTGGACATTTAACCTTGCCCCTGATTCTTTCCATGGAGCTTGTGCCCAGATCCCTCCCCACAAGGTACAATTGGCAGTGAGGACCAAGACAGGCAGCCCGAGCTGCTAGACCAAGCAGATCAAGGGGCTGTGTGGTGGGGGTGGGTAACTTGCTGCTTCATCAGCCTCACCGTCTCCTTGTGCCTGGCCCTCCCTCCTCTCTCTCTTCTCCCCCCCCTCCCTCCACACCTGCACTGGAAACTCTCTCATCAGAGATGCCACAGGAACCCCAGAGTTGAACTTGATAGGTGAGGCGGGAGGGAATCCCCTTTCACAGGCTTGCCTTCTCCTTTAAGGACAGTTATAGTGGAATCCTGTTAGGGGATCCATGGGGTAAAGATAAAAACACTTAGTAAAAGAGGGGTGAAGTGACAGAAAACCTGTTTGGGGGCATTTATCAGCTGGTTGGGTTACTGAACCTCCCCACCCCCACTAACCACAGGGCTGGTAGCTAATGGGTGGGGGTTGGGCTACTGAAGGGCTCATGGCTAGGAAAATGGTTGGTGCTTGTACACTTTTCCATAGATCCCCAGGGGTAGGAAAGACTCCCAGGAGTCATTGTCAGCTAGAGCTACATGTCTGTTTCAGTCATAAGGTCACATGTCTAGAGATGAGTCCTGCCCTGATCACTTGCCCTACCCATGATCTTTGTGTGTTGTAAAGTGCCCCCCCATCTGTGTGGGTGTAAGACTGTGTGTATGTGTGTGTGTGTGTGTGTGTGTGTGTGTGTACCACATGCATACCTGATGTTTTTGGAGACAGAAGAGATCATTACTGGATTTCCCCAGAATTAGGAATATACATGATTTGTGAACCTCCATGTGAGTGCTGGAGACTAAACCCTGGACTTCTGCAAGAACAGCAAGTGCTCTTAATTAGGGCACTGTTTCTCCAGTCCCTCTGTCTTATCATTGGATGGAGATGGGCTTGAGGTCTTTCACTGGACTCAGTGATAACCTAATGGCATAACTGGCCAGTGAGTGAACCGTGGGGATCCTCCTGTCCCCACTTCCCCTACACTGGGGTTACAGATGTGACAAAACTGAGCTTTGGGGTCAGAACTTAGGTGTCTTCCTGCTTCGGTGATAAGCACTGTACTGATCAGATATCTCCCCAGCCCTGTGCTTTCATGTCTAACTCCAGAATGGGAACTATTCCCTAAGGTGATAGTGAGGATTAAATGAGGAAAAAAAAAATCACTATGGGTGCAGCAGAGACTCTGCCACCAAGTGTCCCATAAATACTTGTCACTTCTAGTAATTGCCATCTGTTATTGTTGTTACTATTATTATTATTATTGGAGGGGAGGTGAAAGTTCCTTCTTATGCTAATCATTTAGCTGGGAGGTGCTTCCTAGGCATAAGTGCAGGGTTGGCATCATTTCCATCCGGATTCTTCCAAATTGACCATCAAGCTCTTCCCAACAGCTTACTGAGGTAAAGCCTCCTGTCCCATTTATATTATATAAATCTCTTCCTTCCTTGGAGGAGAGACAGAGGTGCCTATTAAAGTGCACTTAACACCTGCAAGGATGCGCAAACTGAGGGCTGGAAATGTCCCAGGGTGGAGACTGTCTTGGAAATAGACTTGGGGGTTTTGCTGGGCAGGGAGTAGACCTGGAACTGTACTGAGGGGTTATCAGACAGGCATTTTAGGAAGTTGTTTTTCTTTTTCAGCCACATCAATTCAGCAGAGGTACACAAGGCTGGGGCAGGCCTAAGCAAGTGTGAGCAGTGGCTCTCTGAGCCAGCCATTGGGTTTTGCTGAGATGGTGGAAGAATTCAAGGTTATGGTAGGAGATGCATTTTCAAACATGTCTTCTGGAACCAAATATCAGATGTGCGTGTCCTGAGAGAGCTGAGTCATTGGAGGCCAAGATCCCACACTCTAGGCTGGCCTCATCTGCCAGCCCAGATGCTGACAGCTGCCTCTGGAGGGTGATGGGAGCCTGTGGATGGCAGTAGCTTCACTGCTCCAAACTGGCTTGCTGATGGGCCTTTTGCATGATTGGAGAGTCTGCTTACTGATTCCAGGGCCTGTTAAACATCCTTGAAAGTTGTCTAATATGTTTTGCTTCATCTGCAAGAAATGAGGCTGTTTTTCAAACAGAGTCTGAGTAACCTGCTTGGCAAAGCAGAGTGGGGAATCAGTTTGTCTCTGTGACTAGTGTACCTTTCCTTTCTGCAGTTTGGTCAGACTTGACCAAACTTCTGGACTTGGTCCTGAGGTATAAAACCTAGCAATAAGGCCCAATATGTAGTTACTTGAAGCTTCCACAAGCATTTTGTTGGCTGATACTCCTGTCTAGGCTTTCTGGAATCAGGGACTCAATCTAGGCTTTCTGTCATTGTCTAAGGAGGAAGGTTCTGGCTGAGACACTCTTAATACCTGAGAGTCTTATCTGTGACACTTTGTTATGTCAACATAACATTTTTACCAAAGACCCCAGAACTAGAACCTGGGGTTTCTAATTTAACTGTCTAGTTGATGCCCCAAACTTACCACTTTTCTAGAGGCAAGGCCTTGGGAACCCTCCTTGGAACAAGTGTATTAGCTGAGAGGTAGCACTCCTTGCAGACCTGTGTTCCATGATGCCTCTACCTCGGCCTGACCATGGCAATTCTCTTGAAGCTGCCTTGACAAGGGACTGACTGTTCTTTGGTGGAAGGCCTCCCTGATGGTCATTCGTTTAATGGTAGCAATTGGGAAACTAAGGAATAAGGACTTCTGTAGCACAGCCTGGGCTATATCATATTAAGTCAGACCAACCTAAAATGTGATGTGAGATCCTGTCTCAAAAAAAAAAAAAAAAAAGAGAGAGAGAGAGAGAGGGGCAAAAAAAAAAAGTTACGATTTTACCAAAGAGAACTCTGGCCCCTGCCACTATGTAGACTATCCAAGACAATAAAAAAAGACATACCTGGGCCAGGTGGCAGTGGCACACACCTTTAGTCCCAGCACTTGGGAGGCAGAGGCAGGGCCTGGTCTACAAAGCAAGTTCCAGGACAGCCAGGACTGTTACACAAAGAAACCCTGTCTGAGAAAAAGAAATACCTATGGGGCCAACAGTTAGTGCCCTGTGTGATTGGGATCCGTCTGGTGACTGACCCTTGTAGAAGAGATTTGATGATTTTTGCATTTTACAGCATAGATAATACATAGGCTAATGCTGTGGATAACCTTTCTATCCCTTTCATGGACTTTCTATTTGGAGCTAGCTGTTTATTTCATGCGGACTTGAAAGCATCTAAGAAAATGCTTCAGCTATTTGTAACCAAACCCTTGCCTCCAAGCAGGGGCAAGCATAGTGAGTTCCCATCAGCCTCCCATCACCACAAACACTGTACCACAGTTTTACTTCCAGGGAGACAAGTCATTCTTCTGTGATACTGAGGTGGACTAACAGTCCCAGCAAGGGGGGTACACGGAACTAGAAACCTACTTCACATCCCCTTGACAACACCTTTGATGCAAGATAAACTTAGTTGGGAGACAGGAGCTGTCATTAGCATCTTGAAAAGGCATTTACAGAAACGCCACCCTTAACAAACAGTGTGTGTTGTCTCTATGAAGGCCCTCTTCCCTTGCTCCATCCTTCCCTCCCCCAGTCCCTTGAAGTTCTTTGTGGAATCTTCCCAGAGTGTAATCTTTCCTTTGGATTCCAAATTGTGTCTCCTTTGAGCAGAGGTCTTGGCCTTCTGCTGCTATTTCTTTAAATTGATCTCCATCCGAATTCCAAATGTAAAGGTCAGCAGGCAAGGAAATGGCACTTCTAATAGAAAACAATGTGCACTTTCTAAATTTGAACCAAGCCGTTTCCGCTCTTTGATTTAAGTGACTTCCTGGGTTTCCGTGTCAGGCGCTGCAGTTGAATCTCTGGCCGGATGCCAACTTAAAATTGCACTCTCTCAGTGAAATTAGAAACTGATCCAGGGTTGCCTTAGCTATTCTAGTAAATAGCATTTAGTCTGAATGTTCAGCTCAGCACTTGGAAATGGGTGATGTGAGTGCCCCTTGAGAGGATTTCCCATGCAAGTTGTTGGAGCTCACCTTCTCAGCTCTTATTGGCTGCTGGAGGCTGCTGCTCTTGGAAGCTGAAGTAATAGGTTAATGTCCCGGATGAGTGGGCATCAGATGCAGCCCTTCCTTCTCTTCTCAGTACCCAAAATGAAGGCTTTTGTTTATCCAGCTGATGAGCCCAAGGGAGCAGGAACACACAGGAGCTGTTGTATTGACACATCCGTGGTCCTCAGTGCCCAGTACGGCTGGTTCCTGCAGTACTGAGAAATGCTTATGTAGGAGTCAAAATGGTTATATTTTATGGTAATGATGAATTGCTTAGTGCTTTCTATGTGCCGACTGTGTGCAGGTACCAGTGTGCATTTTCTCCTTGAATTCTTGCAAGAACCCTTTTATGGCCATAAAACCACGCCATAAGCCAAAAGAATTCAGGCAACTTGGACCCCAGTGCTCACCACTGCAGAGACAGGTGGATTTGAATTCAAAGCCAGTCCGGGTCTACACAGTGAAATCTCCACCTGCTGACAACCTCCCTCACCCAGAAGTGAGATGGCTCAGTTGGTACAGGTGCTTGCTCACAAGCCTGGGGACCTAAGTTCAATCATTATCACACATAAAGGTGGAAGAAGAGAGAAGTGATTGTTACCTGGAGAAGTTTTGTACCCTGATTTACACATACATTAAAAATAAGTTTAAAAGTTTTACTTGTTCACGGCAACACTGTTAGGCCTAAGGAGTTCTGGTTTTGTTTGCTTGTTTGTTTGTTTGTTTTTTGAGACAGGCTCTTGCTCTGTAGGTCAGACTAGTCTCATTTACAGCTGTCTCCCTGTTTCCACCTTCCAAATTCTGGGATTATAGGAGTATGCCACCATGCCTGGCCGACCCACCCTTTACCTACTCGGTGGTGCTGATAACAAAACCCAAAACCTGTGATCATGCTAGGAAAGCTGTCTACCACCAGGTTGCACCTCAGTCCAATAAATGTTACTTCTACCAGTATTCTCATTATTGATCATTTAAGCCTTGGGACTTGCAGGGAAGTTCTTTGAAGGAATTTAGTTCCCATTTTATCTAGGCTCCCAAGGCCTGTTAGACTGAGGGGAGGGTATTAACAGGCCATATATTGATGCTGGAAATCTATTTTCTCTTCCTCTCCCCCAGGACCCGCAGAAGCCTGTCAGTGTAGTCCAGGACCTCCGGCCTCATGGAGCCCCCGATCCCACAGAGCGCTGTCCCTTTGCCTCCCAGCTCCGTCATGGTGCAGCCCCTCCTTGACAGCCGAGTACCCCACAGCCGGCTCCAGCACCCACTTACCGTCTTACCCATTGACCAGATGAAGACCAGCCACGTGGAGAATGACTACATAGACAACCCTAGCCTGGCCCCCACCGTGGGCCCCAAGCGGACCCGGGGTGGCGTCCCAGAGCTGGCCCCTACACCTGGCCGCTGTGACCAGGATGTCACTCACCACTGGATCTCCTTCAGCGGTCGGCCCAGCTCTGTAAGCAGCAGCAGCAGCACCTCCTCAGACCAGAGGCTCCTCGACCATATGGCTCCACCGCCAGTAGCTGAGCAGTCTTCCCCTAGGGCTGTGCGCCTCCAGCCCAAGGTGGTCCACTGTAAGCCACTGGACCTCAAGGGCCCAGCAGCTCCACCAGAGCTAGACAAACACTTCTTGCTGTGTGAAGCCTGTGGGAAGTGTAAATGCAAGGAATGTGCGTCCCCTCGGACATTGCCCTCCTGCTGGGTCTGCAACCAGGAGTGCCTGTGCTCAGCCCAGACCCTGGTCAATTATGGCACATGCATGTGCCTGGTGCAAGGCGTCTTCTACCACTGCACCAATGAGGATGATGAGGGCTCCTGTGCTGACCATCCCTGCTCCTGCTCCCGCTCCAACTGCTGCGCCCGCTGGTCCTTCATGGGTGCCCTCTCTCTGGTGCTGCCGTGTCTGCTGTGCTACCTGCCAGCCACAGGCTGTGTCAAGCTGGCCCAGCGCGGCTATGACCGCCTGAGACGCCCTGGTTGCCGCTGCAAGCACACGAACAGTGTCATCTGCAAGGCGGCCAGTGGCGACACCAAGGCCAGCAGGTCTGACAAGCCTTTCTGACACTTTGGATGAAAACTCAACACTGCCCTTGGAAACTGGGGTCCTTCCTGCCAGTCTCTTTTGAGACTGACCTGGCTTCTCTGTCCTCTCTTAAACCCCAGATTGAGAAGAAACAGGCAGAGACCACTACCACCCAACTTAGAGTCCCCAAAAGGATAAAGATGCACTTTGGGGTTTTCATGTTCTTGAAACTTTATGTCAAGCAGCAGTGACAGCATCAGGGTGTGGTGGCTTTGGATGTGGTTTTCCTATTTCAGAAGACAGAACACAGATGTGGACACAATCCCGAAGTTTGGCTGCTCAATGGCCTTCCCAGCCCCTCCTCTCAACCTCACCCTCCCTCTTTGCCTCTGGCTCCTACTGGAGCCTCCTGCCTGGGAGGAACAGCTAATGGAAGGTGGGATACCTCAAGGAAGACCCCGCAGAGCCTTGACTTCTACATTTTTTTCCTCTGCCCATGCCTGTTGGCCTTGGCCTCTTGGGAAGGTGCACCATAGCAATTCCTGCTGTATGTACTTGATAGCTGAGAACAAATCACTGGTGAGCCGAAGCCTCCCTGGAGCCACAGGATGGACAAGGAGCCACTAGGGCAGTCAGTGTGTTCCTCCTAGCTTCAGTCACTAACTTGGAGGTGTCCACTCATCACACCATCCTCCGGTTCATACTCGAGTCACAGACTGGCCTGCCTGCTATGTGTCCTGAGCTCTCTCTACTTAGATTCTCTGCAGAAACTTGCTGGGTTAAGAGGGCCAGGGTGACACAAGTGAGACCAAATATCATTTTGCCAATGAGTCTGAGGCTGTGGTCTGCGGATCCAGTCGTGATGTTTTTATATGTTTAATTAAACTAGATGCTAATGGTGTTTAAACAATAATAATACAACTTGCTTCCTTTTGAGCCACCCCCAGGAAGGGCTGATTTCACAATCTGGGGGCAAGAAACCTCAAGGAGCGTAATTCCCCTGCCCGTCAAGAATGGCGAAAGAAGAGGCCGCACCTCCCATTGGCAGAATGACAGTTGAGCCGAGCTGGGGTTGGGCTTTCTTCTGATTCTGCTGCTTGCTGTCATAGCCTTTTGTGTATAGTGATGTGTCTGTCTTTATGTAAATAGAGAGAGGATGAACAGAGTCTATTTTAGTGTTAGGAGGCCCTGGTGGGGAAGTCAGAGGAACCCAGAGAGGGTGGGGAACAATTTTCCAGGGGCTACTGGATTTGAGCCCCACTTCTGTGCGCAGCACAATCTCCGCCCTTCCCGACAGCCCCCAAAGACGTAGCAACTCTTTCTCTCACGGTGCTAAAGGTCTCAGAAAGTGCAGCACGTCCAGTGGGTAGGTACTTGTTGCATGCAAAAAGCTATAGTGTCTCTGGTCCTTGCCCCCAGCTGTTGTGTGGGGTTTTTGCTTTGTGTGGTATTTTGTCCCCATCCCTGCCTCTGGTGATAGGAGAAATGACCTGGGTCAGATGAGGTGTCCCAGGTGAAATTGGGAAAGCATTAGGCAAAACTCAATGTGTGACATTTCTGGCTCTCTGTGTGGGACCAGAGCTGCCCCCAGGAAGGAGACAAGCAGGCAGGTAGCTGTAATGCTGTCTCAAGGATTCACCCCCACCCCCACCTTGGAAACTAGTAGTAACACCTTATGATTTAGAGTAAGTTAATTGTAACCATAGGTATTTATTGATTGGAGGAAGGGAGGGTTTTATTTTCAGCTTTATTTATGTAACATTTACAGGCTTGTAAAAGGCACGTATAAAATACTGCATCTTCATTCTCTATGGCTAATTCATATAGCTGCCCTTGCCACAGTTGCTTGCAATGTTCTTGCACAGATCGAAAGGAAAGATAGACAAAAACACGTTCAGCCAACCACTTACACTAATTGAATGTATTAGAAACTTACTGAAGGGGCTGCAGATGTTTTCCTCAGATGAGGCATGTGTCAGGGCCCCCCCCCCCCCCCCCCCCCCCCCTTTTTTTAAATAAAAGTTTTTTTTTTTTTTTTTTTTTTTTTTT